ACTCACCTCGTGGTGGCGGCGCCCTTATATACCTGCGCTGGCACTTATGGCAACTCTAGAACATTCTGAAGTTTATCGCTCATTCTCTTTCTCTCGCTGTTCGCAGTGTTCATCCAACTTGACGTTTCTCTTTGTGGAACATTCTACGTCATTCTTCGAACATTCTGCCTATTTCTCGTTGTTCGCTTTGTGTTGCCGCAGTATTCGCCACAATAATAACAGATTGGCGTCTCCACATTTGTTGGTGTTTGACCTAGCTTCTCCTCCGACCTGTGGCGTGCGCCTTGATGTTGTCACACAAAGCGGAGGCACCTACAGATTTCCGCCGATTGTATTTTTATGAGAAGCTGTTTTTCATGGCAGAAATACACTCGGAGGTTTGCCATTGCCTGCCCGAGGGACGACCGCTGTTAAGAAAAAACCTTTTTCTATATTTTTTGCGATGTTGCTTTGACCAGGGCTTGAACCCAGGTGCTGATGAGTGAAAGCGCGCACTGCTTACCACTAATAATAATCATAATAATTAATATTTAAGGCATGTTTTTTGGATAACCGTGTAATGATTAAATACCAATATTAGCACCTTTTCAATGATTAATATTTAATTAAAATTGTTAATTAATTCATTAATACTAATTACATGATTATTTTTTTTTTTGATCATTTTCAATTATTTTTTGCGATTAATATAACTATTTGATAAATTTCAATTATCAATCAACTAGTCAAACTAGAGACCAAAATTAATAATATTTAATAACTGCTTGAATTATTTATTTATTTTATTCTTATCCAAATCGCAAATTTTAAGCGTTAATTACTACTTTTATACAATTTTAAAAAGAAAGGACTGAAAGTTTCTAAGTTAATGAATTTAATTTAATTTAATGAAAACTTTTATTTCTGTTTAAGTTCACTCGAAAATGAACTAAAGTATTTATTTCGTTTTTAACTAAAAGTTTTTTTTTGCATATTTAATATTAAAAAGAAAAAAACATAGTATTTGTTGTACGAAAGCTATTACCTTTATGTTTGAAAGTGTGAAATATTTATTTATTTAATTTTCCTCTTAATTAATACTCAAAAGATTTAACACTAATTATTGGCAAATCTAAGGCTACTAAATAAAAATGTGTAATATGTTAAAGTGCACTTAATCAAAAGTTTTTTTCATTTTATTTTTTGGCTCCCAAAGTAGTGGTTTCGGTCCATAATTGGACTAGTATTTTTCTGTATTTTTTGAAGTAGTATGAGACTGGTTTATTTCTGACCCAATTGCCCTCTCGTAGGACATCCCCATGTTAAAAATACCAGTTGATTGCATGTGGTTCATACTAGTTGTGAGGTAGTTTACAACTGGTACATTTGACTACAGGGTATTTAACAAAAGTAAAAAAATTAACAATATTTACTAGTAGACATACATAAATCAATACACAAAACTTTTTCGGTCATATGCTATGATGACTCATGCTTACGGTGTAATACCGAAGTACTGCACATTAAAACTGGTATGTCTCGAAAAAGAAAAATCAAATCGCGACGAACAAAAACGAATTTTTAAGGGGAAGAGTAATGCTAAAAAATAATGGCCTAAGTAAAAATGAGCAAAAAAGTGATGTTTTCATAATATAACGATTTTTTATCAATCGTGTTTTATTTTAGTGCATTTAAATTTGTAGATTCTTGTAAATTCAGTGCTGCCACAGCTTTAAATATTTCAAATTATTTCAGGTTTCAACTATCACGGAGAAATTTTAGTTCAGAAAAAACACTAAAAAGGCACTAGGCACTAAATTATTTTTTTTGGCGTTTTAATTTTCAAAAGGCACTGTTGAATAAAAGACTCGACGTAATTACCAAACACGTTTATTCAATGCAGCGATCCAAAAGGAGAGAAACTTGAATACAAGTGTAGTACAATAGTTAGCAAAAATGAATTAAATGAGAACGATTATGAATTAGTGAAACACTTGCACAGGGTGCATAGCTTGAATTGAAATGAACAATATAAATATTAGACATACTGCCCGGTCGGAGCATCTGCTTCGATATCAACAGGTTGGAAAAGCAAGCATAGTTTCTGCACTGCCCGGGTGCACAATCCGTATGCGGTCATTAGGGTCGCGTTGCGCGCCAGTCCATCACTGCCTAGGTGAACTTCTGTGATGCGACCAAGTCGCCAGTGTGTTGGAGGTAGGTTCTCGTGTCTAACCAATACGATGTCACCAACCTGGATGTTCTCGACACGTCGCCGCCATTTACTCCGCGATTGTAGAGTTGACAGATACTCTTCGCTCCACCGGTGCCAGAATTGTTGATGGAGGCGGCGTAACCACTGCCAATGCTTTAGACGATTAACTGGAATTTCCGCTACCTCAGGTTCAGGGACTGCGATGAATGGAGCGCCAATGAGAAAGTCTTCAGGCGTTAATGCGTATTTGTCCTCAGGGTCATCACTCAGCGGAATAAGCGGGCGTGAATTCAGACATGCTTCAATGCGGGCCGCCAGTGTATGCAGCTGGGAATACCACATTCCCTGGTTACGTACGACACGTACCAAATGTCGCTTCGCTGACTTCACCGCCGCCTCCCACAGTCCACCTTGATGGGGAGCGCTAGGCGTAATAAAGTGCCAATGAGTCCCAAGATTAGCAAGGTATTGTTGATTCTGGCTGCTGTGCCAGGTGGCTAAATCTTCCTGCATTAGCCGATTAGCACCGACGAACGTCGTGGCATTATCGCTGTATAGGTCTCGGCACTGGCCGCGTCTGCTAACAAAACGCGTGAAAGCATCAATAAAGGCCATGGATGACAAGTCATCCACCAACTCGATATGCACAGCTTTGGTTGCCATGCAGACGAAAATTGCCAGATAGGTCTTCACGGTAGTCCGACTTCGTTTGGTGCCAATGCGTATCGTGAAAGGCCCACAGTAGTCCACGCCTGACGCCAGGAATGGTCGTGCTACGTTGACTCGTTGTCGTGGTAATGAGGCCATCTGTTGCGTAATAGTAGCTCCACGGTGTCTTCTGCAAATCACGCACTTATGGATGACGCTGCGTACCGCTTGCATGCCATTGATAATCCAAAATCGGTACCGCAGAGTCTGTAGCATTAATTGTGTACCACCGTGAAGTGTGTCGATGTGAACTTGGTGTATGAGCAGCCTAACTAAATCGCTGACCTTCGGAAGTATAGTTGGGTGGCGATGTTCTTCTAGCAACGCGGAGTTAGTAATGCGTCCACCTACCCTTATGATGCCATGGTCATCCAAGTATGGGTTAAATGGGAGCAGTGGGCTTGAATTTGGTAAAGTAGTTCCTTCTCGCAAATAATGTAAGTCTCGAGGAAACGCGGACGCTTGATCAATACGAATGAGCAATTCAAGCGCGCCATCCATCTCTGCCGTTGTCACAATACTCTGCCGGAGAAGGCGTTGCCTTGGTAACCAGCGGAGGATTATAGCTGTAGTTCGGAGGAGTCGTTTTATGGAACTATACCGTTGTGTTAATGGAATCTGGCGCCCATCGATGAGTCGTGTGGTAAGCTGATATTGAATGGAGGACACGAACGTAAGAACTCTGACCCTTTCCTCACTGTTCGCAGCAACGCGTTCGTCAGCCTGTAACTCGGGCGCCGAATCAAAGGGTGTTTGCTTCTGCCGCAGCCAATCTGGACCTGTCCACCATAAATTGTGGCTCAACAGCTCTGTTGGAGTTACACCACGGCTGGCGCAATTCGCTGGATTCTGGGCAGAACGTACAAAATGCCAGCAATCAGTAGAAGTCAGTTGTTATATTTGGCGGACCCTGTTGGCGACATAGGGTTTCAACAAAATTGGCTGTTTGCGTAGCCAAGACAGGACTACACTGGAGTTCGACAACAAATACACAGAAGCCTCCTCCAAACTTTTTGCCCTGCGAACCGTGCCAATCGTTTTAGCCAACAGAAGTGCTCCACTCAGTTCCAGTCTAGGGATCGTGGTGCCTTTAAGCGGCGCAACCATCGTACGAGCAGTGAGCAGCGATACCAGCACACTTCCATCAGTGTCAATCGTATGTGCGTAAACCACCGCAGCGTATGCCTTCTGACTGGCGTCACAAAATCCATAAAGAGTAGTCCGATTAGTTGTACTCATACCCAGCCATCGAGGTACTCGAACTTTATTGAGGGTAACCAAATCACCGCGGAATTTCGTCCAAATTCGGCACAGATCTTGAGGTAGTGGAGTATCCCAACATACACCCGAGGCCCAAAGACTCTGTATAAATACCATGCCTCATATAACGACCGGCGCCAAAAATCCAGTGGGATCATACAGCTGGGCTACTTCACTAAGAACTCGCCGCTTCGTCAGGAGTCCATCATAGTGGTTAAGAGATACCTTGAACAACAGCTCGTCCCTTGCGGGGTCCCAGAGCAGGCCTAGCACTGTAGCTATGGGGGCGTCAATGTTGTGTTCAGCTACTGAGGAGGATTCACCTATTTGTTCGAGTACGGCAGCTCTATTCGAGTTCCACTTTCGAAGCGTGAAACAGCCTGCCGATAAAATCGTCGACACGTTATTCGCCAACGTAACCGCCTCGCTAACCGCAGTACAGCTTGTGAGGAAGTCATCGACGTAAAATGAGGAAAGAATGGCACTGCGCGCCGAATCGGCCAGATTAGGATCGCTCACCAAGCTATAGTTGTCGACTGCGCACTGACGCAATGATCGCACCACATTATGAGGACTGCACGCCATGCCATATGTTACANAAGCTATAGTTGTCGACTGCGCACTGACGCAATGATCGCACCGCATTATATGGGCTGCACGCCATGCCATATGTTACCGTTTTCAGCTGATATATGGTAACTTCCTCGATGGGTGAGTCGCGCCATAAGATCCGTTGAAGATCTCTATCTTCCGGTGCCACTAACACCTGGCGAAACATCTTTTCTACGTCAGCCGTGATAGCAATTGCGTAACGTCGAAATCGGAAAATAATATCCATCAGCGAGTCTTGAATAGTTGGACCCACCAGCTGTACATAGTTAAGCGAAACACCGGTTGACGTTGGCGCTGAGGCATTAAAAACGACGCGGAACTTCTCCATCACGGCGTGATGCGGGATGTAATATGTACGAGGAGAATCATTGGCGATATCTAAGGCTCCCATATGCCCTAAGTCGATGTATTCCCTCATAAACTCCACATATTGGGTACGCATTTGTATATCGGAGGCAAGGCGGCGCTCCAAGCGATAAAATTGTTGTAAAGCACTGTAGTAAGAGTCGCCTAGTGGTGGAGCATTAGATCGTATTGGTAAGCGCACCATGTAACGCCCTTCTGGTGTTCGTGAGTGAGTCATTGAAAATAGGTGCTCACATTCGTCATCAGCCATACGGTCGACATCAGGCCCCCCGTCGAGCTCCCAAAATCAGCTGACAATCTCGTCCAACTGAGACTCTTTCAAAATATGGGCACCATACGAGCGTAAGCATGGACCGCTGGTCGAATTCGCGGAGGCTGGCCCGAAAATGACCCAACCCAGACGCGTAAGTTGAGCATGTGGCTCATTGTGACCACCTCTGATAGTGTCTCCTTCCAAAATGAGACCCCAAACGTCAGCTCCTAATAGAAGGTCAATTCTTCCCGGAGTACCAAACTGTGGGTCTGCCATTTGCAGACCAACCAAGTGTCCATACTGATTCACATCAATCTGCGCTGTTGGCAGCACTGAAGTAATTGATGTGATGACCAACGTTTGAATTGCCAAAGAAAATTCTGAGTGGGTTGATTTGAGCGTTATTGCCACAGCGCCCTTTGTACGTGTACAGGATAATGCAACAATGCCCTCGACCGCGATCTCATAACTGCTTCTGCGAAGACTCAGAGCATTAGCAAAACGCTCAGTAATAAAACTTACTTGTGATCCAGGGTCGCACAAAATCCTAGCCAGTCGTTCCTCCGAATTGTCACCAGAAACATATGCGCATGCTGTTGCGAGTAGTATTGTCTGGTCACCCTGAGCATGGCATCCAATCACAGAGTCAGATAGTCATAACGAAGGTTGAGCCGGTGCTACTAGTACACCCGGCTGCGATGAGGCGGTGGTAGTAGCCGCTACCATCCTTGTTGAAGGCGCGGCAGGCTTTAGTTCGCGACAGAATATGGTGTTGTATTTGCGGCCGTATTGGCGACATCCTCCAGAGGAGCACTGCTTAGATGCATGCCCCAACCTCAAACAATTAAAGCATAGGCCCGACTTCCTTAGGGCCTCAAAACTCTTCTCCGGTGGTAAATCCAGTAGAGTTGGGCAGCGCATGACCCTATGTGCCCCTCGACAATACTGACACTTCCCTCCCTCTGTTGAAAGGTTGAATTTCACAGTGCGCGCGGTTGGTGACCGCTGTGGCTGACGACCGGACACCTTGTCTGTACCATCGCCGATCCGAACAAGCTCGGTCGACAGACTCTGTGCTCTTTTCTAGACAATTCCGTTGGGGAACAGTGCATGCCCCACTCGCGCTTTGTTAACGGAGGTAGCTTTGATACCACAATAGGTACCGTAAGTGCATCCCACTGTTGAACTGGCAACTTCATAATGGCTAACGCGCGCAAAGAACCGCTAACCACATCCACTATATTCAGCAAAGACTTCGCCGATTCATCTGCTGCCAATGAAAGGTGAAGGAAACGCGCCACATGAATTTCTGCCAACTGCTTGGGGTTGTCATACCGCCTCTTCAAAGCTGCCCACAGTTCCTCGTAACCGCCAGAGTAGAGACCACCAACTAACGGCACCGCTGAGGATGGAACAGCTTGCCGCAATTTACCGAGCTTGTATGCGATGGGTAAATCTCGGTTGTGCACTAAAGTCTCGAACGCATCCTTAAATGCCAACCAATTATGTAATGCGCCGTCAAAGGTCGGAATATTTAATCGCTCCAGCTTTAATTCCATCATTGAATCGACATCGGGTTTGCTGGGAACCTCGGACGAATCACCAGCAGTCACACCCCAACGCATAAGACTGCCACATAATTCGTTGTACATGTCCTCCGTCGAATCCCACCATGCGGCATGCACATCCCACTCCTTGGCGGCGCTAAGGAGCGCTTCGTGGTTTGCAAACATGCGCTCGTAATGGGAGTTCGCGGACTTCAGCAGCTGCTCAGCCTTAGATGCATCTAATTCGCCGGTGCGCGCTTTCCGCACTTGCTCCAGTGCACGGGCAATAGCCGATGCATGAAACTTACGCAGATTTATTTCTGCCATTTACATATATATTTACGTACCAGTGTAGAATACAATGTGTGGTTATGGCAGTACACGTATCTTGCGCGATCCGAATTAAATCCAATGATATCGCAGCAATCGTTTGAGATTACGTAAAAATTATAAATTCGCGAAATTAAGCAACTTAAACTATTAATTTTCGCACGGTTCTTAGTCCTCACAGGAGGCACCAAAAATTATGTTGAATAAAAACTCGACGTAATTACCAAACACGTTTATTCAATGCAGCGATCCAAAAGGAGAGAAACTTCAATACAAGTGTAGTACAATAGTTAGCAAAAATGAATTAAATGAGAACGATTATGAATTAGTGAAACACTTGCACAGGGTGCATAGCTTGAATTGAAATGAACAATATAAATATTAGACAAGCACTAAATCTAGTGCTGAAAGCACCAAGTTGGCAACTATGCCCAAGACTTTCCTTGAAGACGTAGCTTTCCTTAATTCTAGTTTGAGTGAGACAGAGAGAGTCATTTTACGAAGAGTGAGCGAGACAGAGAGTGATGCCACTTTTACTAATGTGTAAGACGGATGGATACCACTCGACTAGCGCGAGCGAGAAATTAGTCGCTATGATCCATCTTCACTGACGCACTTGCAATATACAGCAGTATGTTACGCTACTTCGTTTACTGCGCATCACAATATAACCAGTAAACAACCTTGGGTGAATTTGGCGACTGTCTCCCTCGGGGATGAATATGCCAGGGATGAAATTTTTGGTACACACGCCTTCTAAGCACGCAGGGTTGCTTTTGAGAAACAAAAAAAAGTTAGCTCAAAATATTTTCAAAAAGCATAGTGGAAAACGAAATTTTTTGAATAATTCTACACAAAAATGTAAACGTAAATGACTTACTATGTAAACTATTGGAATAAAACTTGTTTTATTACCTTTTTGTGCAAAATGAAAACGATTATCTGAACGCTCAAAGCACTGCCACTAAACTGAGCCACTACAGAAAAAATACTGCTCTGGTCTTCTGTTTACGCGGAAAAAATGCAGGTAGTAATTTTCATTGAATTTTGTGAAGAATCTGCACATTTTATGCTTTTGTTTTATAATTCGAATTTTATGTGTTAGTAAGAACAAGGGATATAGCTGAGGAAGGCTTAAACATCTTGGCGATGGGCTGTTTACCTTCTGGATACTTGCAATCTCATTTGTGAAAAGTATACGAAATATTTCTTTTTGAGTGAATTTAAAACTAAAGGATTAAACTACTTTAGATTTCGGGCAGCTGTTTCTTTCAAGTTCATGCGTAAGAAGGTCGCTGAGGATCAATGGGACGCCTTTTGAATAAATTGAACCGAAATTTCTGCAACACGAATTAACATTAACCAATGCCATAAGTGTACGGTGATGACCATGATTTTGTTGTGGAAATAATATGCACATATATTATAATACAATTGAAATTATACCTCACTTGATTCTTGTTAATAGGCAGACCTGTTAATTTCTCATTTTGGGTATGTGCCAATTGATAGAAAGTACTCGGGATGGTCAATTTTTGACAACCATGAGGTGAATGAAAATTTCCGAGCCGAGCAAGAATCACACCTACCTGACGGTTTTGAAGTGTTTTTTGTTTAATAAACGCATGGCTTTCAGTTCTAGAAGAATTAAAGTCAGTAAAAACATATTTTTTTATATAATTGCTGCATTTTAACTGCTTAATTTCTTTTGCACCAGAGGAACTGTCCAAAATTTCCAGCAGTAAAAAGTTACGAATCGGCACAGCGGAAACGTAAAATTTTCTTACCATAGTAAAAAGTTTTGTTTTCACCATTACACTTTCCTACTCATTGGCACAGACCCAGAGTAATACAATTTTATAATGAAAAAAATAAAGTGATGTAGAACACTTCCTGAAAATTTTAAAGCTTATTTTACTAATTTCTTTAATTATTAGAGCATTATATTCTCATTTTACTAATTTATTATTGCTTAGTACCAAATGTAAACATTTACTTACCAAACCTTTATTTGGTTCGGTGAAAGAAACAAGTCCGAAGGATACTTAAGTATTTATATATTTATTATGTTTATTTTATATTGCTGTACATATTTTTTTTTTGGATTTTAGCATTCATATTTTGGATTCATCTTATTCATTTGTGTAATTCCTGCGCCATTTATAATTTTCTTTTAATAAGATCAAGATTTTTGAAATGCTTAAATTTATTTATCTAATAATAATGCAGCCCACAACCCTAAAATCTAAGAAAAATTCGGAGGAAGGCCAGCACACAACGACGAGCAACGAGTAAGGTGGTCGGATGGGTTTTTGGATGCGGAATTTATTTAATTTATTAAAAGGGATTTCGAGGTGAATGAATTGTAAAAATTTGCTAAATCAACGTTAGGCAGCCACGACTGCATATCGATGTGATTTAGTGTCAATTTGGATGGAAGTTAAAATTGAAAAATTGAAATTTTACTTTGAAACCATGATTCAATAATACAAGGTTGTGTAATTTGTGACAGCTAAAATTTGACACTCCTTTATGTAGACTTGTATTTTGGAAGTAGGAGAAAGGGGAAGAATGTGATCGCGTTTTGCGAAAACGGTAGTAGAATGGTACTACAAAAAGTACGCAAAGTATACAATTAGAAGTAAAATGTGTATTATTAATTCTATGCGAATTTGCAATATATTTGGTGTTTTAATGGAAATACTAAACATTACATAAAAATATGCATTTTTGATTTAAGTTATTCGTCATTTCCTGGAACAAATCTAGAATACCGACCGCTCACCTATGCTAAAACGAAAAATGCAGATCAATAGAACTTTTTATGGTCATTTCAACCATGCCAAAATTATTTGGCGCAACTAAAAAATGAAAACGTTCTAGAAGGTTAAAGTTCAGTTTTTAGATATTTTAAATATTAATATCTTATGAACTATATAACCGATTAAAAAACTAATTGCGTCACTATAGAGATAATTAATTTGTTCTTCAGCTGATGTACATAATTTATAGATTTTTGTATTTTTAAACCAAACCCACTAAAAACGAACAAATGTTATTTTTTCATGAAATAACCTTTTTTTGAAAAAACACTGCATAATTAATGGTAAAGAAATTTAT